CACATAGGATATTGAGTTCATGTTCTACCTTATTTGATCCACCTGAAATCTAAAGCAGGACTGCTGAGCATTGTCAATATTTCCTTTTTTTTTGATAATCATATGTCTGTGGTCTGTCATCCAGTTGAAAGGAAGTGAAACAGCATGCATAAATGTGTTGTAACCTTCTTCTTACCTTCATTTTATCACAGTGCAGTTATTTTGTGCTCATGAGTCATCTCTGTTCTGATCTCATCACAGGTTGTCTGCTAAAAAGCCATCCACAGCACAGTTCTGGTACAAGCCACATTTTCTCTTCTCTTTACTTCTTTGCTGTTGCTGCTCCTGTCCTTGGCTCTCAGTGCACACTATTGGTTTAATTTTTTTTTCTTTCTTCATATTTTGTTTTAACATACAGATATTTCTACTCATACTTCATTACTACCATTGTTAATAATACATTGGCAGCACTTGGCATTGTCATAACAACTTCTGTTTGCTTTGCTTTACAGGAAGAACAAAGTTTTAACTGAATTTCACAATAGTACTCTGTATGCAGTTAGAAAAAATAAACCTTGGGTTTATTTACAGTTTCTGTTACTACATATATAAAATAAAAGAACAAAAAAAGGGTGTAAGTAGTGCATGGCACACAAGTGATGCATTAATTGAAGTGTGAAGGCTAGTACTTTATTGAAAATGTGTTTTATCATTTTTAAACCCTTTTACTTTAAATAGTTTGTCAAATTGCTTCTTACATACTTAAAAAATATATCTCCTAGAATTCCCTAGAGATGCATTTTTACTATTTTAAATTCATAGAAGTAACTCCATTTGGGCTTGTGTTTTTGATCCCATGTATATAGGATTAAGATACTGGTCAATAAAGGAAATTCTAAATTGCTTTAAGTCTACTTGGAATACTGACCATTTAAATTCTCAAATTTATAAATACTTAGAGATGCAGATAAAGGTAATTTCAGTAATATTGCAATGGCCCATAAAGCAATTAGGAATACTGAGTTCTAAAGCTCCCTTGGGTTAGGTGACCTTTAGGACATGTGGCCACAAGCAAGATGCATCTGCATGATGAATATGTGTATAAATATAAGAAGAATTAAGCAACCACTTTAAACAAACATAGTTAAAAAGGCTGTTTAACAAAGGAAATTTCCCCACTTTATTGAAATTTATATGTGAATAAGAATACATATAACTTCCTATAATTTGTAATAATTTGTATTGTATAGAACATTTATTAATATTTGTATAATTATTTATAATGTTATTAGGGTACTAGATAGAGATACAATATATAAACAATGTATATCTATATACCAATTCAGTGGGAGATTTCCCGTCATCATTTCAAAACATATTTTAGTTGTGTTCAGTGTCAGAATGGTTGTCAGAATGATGCCAAGAGTGCCTAGAGCAAGTAGGTAGGTGTCACTGTGGACACTGGCTCAGGAAAACTCTGAAATATGTGGTCATAGTTGATTATAAATGCCAGTCAAATCAGAGATTACCATAACTTAATACTTCATAAACCCATTTAACATTTTTCATTGTTGTTTCTTGGTTTCTTCTCATAAATGACAGGGTTTTTTTTTTCCTCTTCCAAAGCACCAGCTTGCTTTTTTGCGTGCAGAGGAGTGAACTGTTCTATTACCATATGCCACTTATTGTACAACAAGAAGTTTGTGCTGTAAAGCACAGCCAACACTAGGAAATGCTGATGCGTGGTATTTTCACACTCGCAGAATTCCAGCATGTAGTAAGACATAGTTCCCATTCACAGAAAAATACATGAAGGGCTGTGTTCAGAAACCCATTTATAACAGGCTGCTCACATGGAGCTTCTGCTTATGAATCTCATTTTGTCCTCTACTTAGTAAAATAATTATGTTGTACTAGGAAGGGACTCCAATGCTGTTATTTATCCTCCTGTAAACCAAAAACAGGCAATCCATCTCTGCTAGGTGATAAAATACATATATTGTTGTAATTTTTTTTATAATTCTTAACACTGTTAAAGTGTACCTCATTTTCTAATGGTGTTGTGGGCCATTTACTGGAATAACAGGTAGCTGTGCAGAATACAATGGAAATTACATATAAAAGAGAAATCGTTGCTTACTATTGTGTAGTCTTCCTAGTCTCATTGGTCTGTTTATTTCATTTTTGTCAACAGCTATTAAATTGGAAATAATGCTCTGACACTACATGCTGCAAATAGTGAATTAGGGCTTTCATATTAAAACTTATTTTTAAAAGTACATAAAGATGTTACCTAACCACTGTTCTGCACTGAAGAGTTTGTAGAGAAATACTTTCAATTCAGCCTTGGGGATATTCATGTGGATGCTTTGCTGTGAAGATGAATAGTTGGAACATTGACCACACTAAAAGTCAGAATTTACTGAGGAGTAACCCTGTTACTTAAAAGACAGACACTTAAGCCTATTTTAGTATCACAATGATGAGGATAATCAGATTTACCCTAAACATTACATATATTGTACAGAGTGAGATGGGTGTTACTTGGCTCTTTTAGTTAGTGCTACTAACACTGCTTTTAAATTAATATTAAACAGAATATTTAGAAGATGTTTTTGCCATTTCTATGCAAGGACAGATACAGCAAAACAGAACATGAAAACCCTGCGACTGATTAAAGTAATGTAATTAAAATTTGGTGATAGGCATTTAGTACACTGTATACAGCTTGAAGTGTGGTGCTGTTTTTCCTGGAAACTCTAGAATTTCATACACTGCATGCCACACTCTGAAAATCACTTTCTGATGGTCGTGAATTTCACTGGCAAGTAATGGGCTTGTGCTTTGTGAGTTTGACATGTTCTCATGTTAGGAACTGAGCAGCTTTTAATATCATTCAGAAACAAGTTGTTGAAAATTGGGATATTAGTGTGATTGCCTGAGCATATTGGAAACGAATTTATAACATGTATTATTTTAAAAATTTTTAATGATATGGTTGGGTTTTCTATTGTTTAAAGTTTGAGTTTCCTTCTTGTTGTTACTTGAGAACAGATAGTTTCACTGTTGAATGTGGAGAGCATTAACTTATTTATACGAAGAATTTATATGAATTGTGACAATTATAGTTTACGCTGATGTTATAGCAAGTTTTTTTAAATAGAGAATTTTTGCAAGATTTTGAGGGAATTTGTTTCTGTGTGTTTTTGTTTGGTTTTTTTTTTCTTTTTTGGGTTTTGTCCTTTTTTGTTTGTTTGTTTGGTCTTTTATCTATTTTATTTTCCCAGAATATCACTGAGCTTATCTGTCTTTTCAGTTCTTCCTAAATGAAGTTGCTAGCAATTCTTAATCTTCAATATTGAAACATTGGTTGATTGACAGTAGAGTGTTTTTTAAGACCTTAAATGTCTTTAACGTCTTAAATGCATTTTTATAAGCTGCCTTGATTTACTGCTCTTATTCAAGTAATGCCATGGTTTGTAAAGAGGGGAAGACTTCATATTCATAGAGGCTTGTAGTCATACTTTCTCATTCAAAGATGACTCCTGTGTAGAGAGTAGCAAGGTCTCAGCACATAAATAACAAAATTTTTGTCAGCTTGTTGTGTGTGTCTTGGAGGAGTGAGTTACTTAAAAGTTTTTTTTTAGCTGTCTGCTGTAACTAGAATAATTCTGTTTACATGTACAAGAAATGACACATTATTTATTGGAGTGTTTATCTTATTTTCCACTGGCAATACCTACTTTTTACCAGTTACTGGACTATGTCAGTAACTTCTCAGATTAAATGAAAGGTATTATTGCCAAGTCCAGTTTGCAGTAGTCATCTGTCCTTTTTCACTGTCGTTTGAAAGTCACTATAGGATGATTCAGATTAGCTTTAGAATCAAGGCAATCCAGTCATCTCTTGCTCTCCCATCTGTGTGTCACCCAGTCTGGGAGTAAAGGGCTGATCCAACGTAATGCCTGAAGACATTACAGTTGCACTTCATAACATCTGACTTTTTCTTTAATTTTGTCTCACTTTATTTCTTACACGATGAAATATAAATATAGATAGCCTCTTAAAAGAAATCACATATGAAACTTTTAATATAATACCATCATTTCCTATTTCTAAGAAAAGGCAATATATAAAATCGTGTAACAGATTGTAAGAACAAATTCTAATAGCTCAGTCCTAATGAACAGAAACAAATATTGGGGCAATGACTGGCTATTCACTATCAAAGAATTGTGTAGTATTAAATGGTCTGCTGTGGTTTTTTTTGTCTTTGCCTTAAAATATAAAATATATTTTTTTCTTTGCCTTAAATAATAAAATGTATTTTGGAAAAGTCTTTTAATACATTTATATCAGTTAGAACATGGCTTCACACTGTTGGTATAAAATTCTTTCAGGTTACCTTTGTCCTAAATCAGTTTTTCAGAATTTTTTTGCTAACACAGTTTTCTTTTTGTAAATTCTCCACCATGACCTTTCCTGTTTCTCAGACAAGAGGACAGTGGCTTTGCTCTTCTGAAGGCAGAGTAATAACTGTTCACCTTCCACTTGCCGTGGTCAAAAGTCCAAGAAGAAAACGCTTTGTTAGTCCTCCAACACATCAGTGTAGAATTAGAGAAACATCACTGCAAATGATCAATTAAAAAGTAATTACTTTCATGTAGCTAAGAGGACCTAATCTCTTAATTCACAATTAGTAGTTCTGTAATTAGAGAAGAATATGTAACATAGATTATCAGTTTTTTTGTCAACAGTTTGTGAGTCTGTATTAAATGTACACTAGTGAAGACTAGGTGTATCAAAAGCATGCTGTGCAATTTTCACTTTCAAGCACCTAGTATTTAAGAGAAAACATATTTTTGAAAGATGAGTTTCTTCCTTGTTCTTGAACTAGCCTCAAACTTGGGATAAGGAGAACAGCTAATAACCTGCATTTTGTTTGGCCTTGCATCCATAATGAGAGATAAATGTGAATATCCTATAAGTGTGTCTCACTGTCCATATGTCTGATTTTTTAGGAGGTGATTTCCTGTCATTCCTAAGAAAAAAGAAGGATGAGCTGAAAACCAAACAGCTGGTGAAATTTTCATTAGATGCTGCCTCTGGTATGGCATATCTTGAATCTAAAAACTGTATACATAGGTAAGGAAGATTTTTTTTTTTCTCATTATTGCTCCTTTGCTCAGTAGAAATGCAAATATTTAAAGGTGTATGGTGTTTACTATTACAGAAGTGAACTCTATGATTTCAAAAAAATATACTTTTTCTGATGAGTTGGTCATTATTGCTTGTCTAATTCAAAAATACTAATTTGGGTAACAAATAAGTGCTATATTATTTGATGTCTATAGTTTGGTGCTACTAATAGAAGTTAAAAATTCTTTTTCACCATAATGATATACATTGTAAGGAGCCTGATTGATACAGTGAGAATGAATCATAGTAAGAAGCAGTCTGTGAGGCTTATGTCACGTCTGAAATTTACAGATATTCACTGGGCCAACAGAGAAATTAAGGTATTAAATTAATATTTTAAGTATTAAGAGCTAAAATTCTGTATATTAAAATATTAATTGCCTGAACTGCTCTCTCTGAAATATGGAAGATTATGGAGCATTATGCTGTTGGAGTTTCTTATTTCTGTTCATACCATTCCTTTTTCTTGTTTCTTCTCCAGTTTGACACTGCCATTGCTGTTTATACTCCATTTGTATGAAAGGGGATGGAATTAGTTTCCACCTGTTTTGTTCTCTCAGAATAGCACAATATATACCCTGCTTAATGCTGTAGCTGAAATATGAGATGTAAGCATGATGATGATCTATTTCACAGAAAAATTATGGAGAACAAGTTTTCATTTCTCATGTTGATGTCTTACACTTTGTGGAACATCTGTAGATGAACTGTGTGACACCTCATTTACATAATCAGTTCATTTAGGATTTAACACCTATCTGCTGAATGCTCTTATCAGAGACCTGAGTGGCATTTCTCTTAGATTTTCATCAGCAGTGAATGGGTCAGTTGCAATCCTGCACATCAGGTTAATCAAAACAATTCTGCAAGTTCATGATGTATAAGAAACAGTGAAAAAAAAAAATCCTAACTCATTATCTAAAACTATGTAATATTCCCTTAGGGAAATCCAAGAAAGAGATTGTAAGCATTCTGTCATGACAGAATGTGTTTCAACCTGGCTCTGCTTTTCAAGAATATAATGGCATAAAAATCAGAGCAAGTAACAGCATTAGTTATTTACGCTAGTCTCATAAATGCTGCAGTGCTTAATAATTCCTGTAACACTCAGATCAGTGTTAAATCTGAAGTGGCTGTTTAAGCTCTTGTGTTCTTAGTTAAGTAAAGCAAAGATAAAAAGAGTAACTGGATAACTGAAGTTTGTTATGGCAATTACTGAAAAAAATTGCAATATTTATTCATTAAATGGTATTGTGCTGCCTAAAATATAAATAGCTTTATTATTTTTCTTCATTTTTAACACTGGAAAAAGAGTATGCCTGCAGAGATGTGTGAAATAGAACTATTCTCGTAGCTGTAGATGACAATGTGGCTTCACTGTATCTCTAGAAATTTGCTCTGCTGGTTGGTGAATAGGAACTGCTATTCCTAAAATCTGTTTACAAAGCTAATAGTGATCTAGCGAATGTGTTTCAGAGAGAAGATATGTGGAGTGTTGTCTTATCATATTAAGATTTTAGTTTTTCATAGTTTTCAGTTGGAACTCTGAATACAAATGCGTCATGTAGTTCCCAAGTCAGGAAAAAGAGATGAAATCTGACATTTTGTTAGTGCCATAGACTTGCCAATGCACACAGCTGGGTTACACCTACTGTAGTGCAAGGAGAAAAGAACTTCTTCCCCCTTGTTTACTTTTTAACTTGTAAAATATTAATGAAATTTGTTGGTTATCACAGATTGTCACAGAAGGTTATCATACAGAGCTAGCACTTTCCTAAAGGAAAAACCAGAATTTTTAGGTAACCTGTACTGAATAAGAATAGAGTTTTAGTGTAACCAAACAAGCAAACCATGTGTTCAGGAGAAGTCCTTACTTTTATGAAGCACACAGGTTTATAAATCAAAATACACATTTCCAGTATTAGTTTACCAGTCTTATTTTCTTTGGTATACAACATTCTTTTTTGTTTTTTGTGGTTAGTCATAGCATATGCTTACTTTATTTGTGAGTTAATTCTTCTAAATTTAATAGGTAAACCTAATGAAAATTTCAGAATTGGTCGAACAACCAACCAAGTTTAGTGATTTTTGCAGTAACAATAAAGGAACTTGTGTTGGCTGGTTTTATTTTTAGTTACTAACACAGATTGATTACAAATGCTTACTCTGGGGAAGTAGCTCATGAAGTTTTAAAATGTGTTTGACCAATGGCTAAACTGCAATTTGGTAGGCTTAGCATACAAAGAATTTTGCTAGGTCTGTTCCCTGTTTGAGTACTGATCCAGGATTTGTGGGCACCCTGGGGAGTGACTGGAGGTGCATCAGTCTAGAACCCCTGTCTGCCACAGGAACCCAGAAAGCAGGGAAAAGTCAAGATGTGTTGTGCTCCCTGAGCAAGTTCTTGGGTGTTCTAACTCAGAAGCCCACTGGAATTTCCCAAGCACTAGAAGTCCAGCCATGTGGCTTCATGGTCTGTACAAGGAATCTGGGAGCCTTTGCTGCCTCCTCTTTAGGTCAGGTAGGACAGATTAGTCATGTGCAACTTTAATGTTGACAGGAGGTAATGGGAATGGAACAATTTAATTCATAGCAGGAAGAAGCTTTAACACTGTAAAAAGAATGGTGATTTTCTGAATGAACGTTAAACTTGTTCTTTTTTTGTCAGAAAGTTCATCTACTGAAAGTGGTTCTCAGGTAAAAAAGAGGTGAGAAAATTAGCTAGAGAAAATTAACTAATGGACTTAGCAGTGGTTAAAAAAACCTTAGTTTTTTCATTTGTTTAAAGGTCCATAGGCATTGATTAATATTGCTTAAAGGTCAGTAATGTACAGTTAGAAATATTTTCTGTCATATAGATTGCAGGAAAATGAAATTGGTTTGCTTTGCTGTTGTCTTTCTGCAGTATTCAATTTAGGTCCTTTTATTTAAGGATTTTTTTCAGAATCCTGCATATATATTTTTAGCAGTTTAGGTGACTAATTTAGTACCAGGCATATTTGGCTACCTGCTAAAGGAAATTAGGGCTACTCATCAATTTATTCACATTATTTTTGATGCTGCTCTTTAGTTGTAACTGCAGTAGCTACACATAGCCTTTATATTTTAAAATTCTACCCAAATTTGTATTGGATTTCGGAAATTATTGTCTGAATTACGCTTTAACTTACCCTTTCAGTAGTTGGGATAGTGCCACAACTAATGTGCTGTTTGTTTTCCAATTTTTATGTGTTAGCCATTTCAGTAGATGAAAATGCTTACATTGGCATGTAAGTGGTTATTGAGTGATTATTTGATCTACATTTGCATTTTCTCTAGCATCCAGATATCACTTGTTCTTTGCTCTGTCTCTTTAAAGAACAGAGATGACTGCACTTTCATTGGGACAAAAAGCTGCCTGAAAAGATGTTATTGAAAAAATAAAAAGAGTGGTTGAACATCCACAGAAGAATGTAGTCATTTAATCTCCATTTAATTAACATGAGGTTGAAGAATTGTTTCTTGCTTTCATTTTTACCATATGCTATTGTTTAGATAGTTCAATTTTTCTGTTAATTAGAAACAGAAGACAAGGTTGAAAATGTGATAATTTGAGTTGGCTTAATAAGCATTTGGGAGTGGCCTTCTTTTCCGGCACTTGATTTGCATGTGGTGATTTCATTTGTCCATAATTCATGTTTAATTTTCAAAGCAGTCTTGGGGGCTATGGGAGGGAAGCTACAATTTCTGTTGGACTTTATTGGATGTAGAGAGATGTCTTCTACAAGATGAGGTTGACTTATTTGCAGTAGATGCACTATGAGTGTGAGGAAACAGGGTCCAAGTTTCTTGCATTCAGTGTCAAATTTTCCTTTTAGTCAATGAATTTACCTTCTGGAAGTCTCCTGTATTGTGAATTAAAGATGTGTTAGTTGGTGAGAAGATCATGTTCTCTAGTCTAGTTCTTCTGTTTTTAGTTATATTGCTACTGCTTCTGTTTGCCTTGGTTTTGTACCTGTGAAAAACCCTGTGTTGTGTTAAATCTGGTTTACTTCCATGTTATGAAATCCTGACCCTGTGGATATTAATTCAGGATTTCTACACTTTTCATTAGATATGTATAATTTAATTTATCTACATATAAATTGCTAGGAACATTCTTGCTTCCCTGCTACTAATCTACTGCTCTGCTATGAGAGCTTTTTTCCCCTCTCAAGTCTGGTAACTGCTAATGTATAGAATTTTGGAAAAAGGGTGTCAGAACCCTTTCATAACCGTGAACTTAAGAACTATAATAAATAGTCAAGAGGTCTTTCATTTCCTGTGAATCTTCTGTTTCTGCCTGGAACAACAGTTCAGCTACCATGAAGAGGATGAAAAGTGATCCTTTTCAGTTTAGCAAAGGTGCTGCTCAGTTCTGTGTGTTTCACGAGGGATTGGAGCCTCCTGGGAGCAGGAGAGTGACAGTTTAGCTCCAAAATGGAACAGGTCTCCTTCCTAAGGAGGAGAAAAAACCTGTCTGCTTGATTTCTCTACTTAAATCCCGTGGAAGACAGTAGCTAAAACTTCTCTGTGCGTGCCCTTGGGAGGCTCCACACAACCCTGTGCTCCTTGGAATGACAGCTTTGGTTCTGTTCTGCAGCAGCTTGGGCACTTGTTTCTCTGAATATTGCATTTCCTCCCAGCCAACTACAATGCCTGAGGACTTTATTGCAATTTCTGTAATTTTCTCTGCTAATGTATGGCTTACAAAGAAAGGCAATATTTTGGTGGTAAACCACCTCAACTCTCTAAGGTTTATTGAAAGGATTAATTTGCCATTATTAATTATCTTTTTATGATCCCTTCAGAATTACATGTATAAAACAATGATCTGAGATTGCTGTAGCTTTCTTTCATAGAAAATTTATTTATGACTGAATGAAAAAGTATGTACTACTGTATTGATAATATCTGTTGATAATGCTTCA